TCGACCAGATGAATGGGAGTTCTTTGTTTCTTAAGTCCTGTTAATTTTGTCGCCAATAACTTTTTTTTTTTGCCAGTCCTAGAGCTAACTTTAGGTTTGGATGCTGTCCCTGACCTTTTTGCTCTACCACTTGAGCCACAGTGCCAGTTCCAGCTTTTTTTGTGATTAACTGGACATAAGAGTCTCATAGACTTTCCTACCCGGACTGGCTTTGAAGTGTGATCCCCAATCTCAGCCTCAGGTAGCAAGGACTGCATGAACCCCCAGCGCCTTGCTCAAGAACTCGTCTTCATAGGGATCTATCTGTTGCAAAATGAGTCAGAAACCTTTCCAGCTACATATCTCTGTTTATGACCTGTTTTTTTCTTCTAATATCAATGGATGTTCTTCAGTGTTTTGGTTGAATGAGGTATAGTGCCTTTCCAAGAATAAAGGCGCCGTGATGAGTTCATTCTGATTAGTAGACCCACAATTCCCTATTCCTGATCTTTGGGATTCTGAGAGGCTTCAAACATCAAATATCAACTGCAGTTGGTTTAGAGGAAATCTTGCTAACTTTTTGATGTTTGGCCTGGAATTATCTCTGCCTCCAGAGTAGGAAGGATGATATCTATAAGCTACTGCACCCAGCCCAATTGACACTTTTGAGCAATTGTACTGAGTATAAGACCTGAGAACTTTTTTTTTTGTTGGTCATGGTGCTTGAACTCTGGGCCTGAGCACTGTCCCCGAGCTCTTCAGCTCAAGGCTAGCACTCTACCACCTGAGCCACAGTGCCACTTCTGGTTTTCAGGTGGTTTATTGGACATAAGAGTCTCACGGACTTTCCTGCCTGGGCTGGCTTTGAACCTTGATCCTCAGATCTCAGCCTCCTGAGTACTAGGATTAGAGGTGTGAGCCACCAAAGCCCAGCTATGAGAACTCTTAACCAGGGTGTAAAAATTATACCTGAGAGATGTACAGGAATGAGGTCACCCAGGGCTTTGTAAGCTGTGATTAGCACTTCGTTTTTAAAGTTAAAAAGGTCTAGTTGAGAAGATTGAGGTTATATTTTAATTAAGCTATAAATCCTGTAGATGCCTGTGGACAGTGCTCAGTGGGAGGACATCAGAGATAAAGAAAAGCAGTTGACAGCAGCTGACTTTCTCAAGAAGCTATTCTTTAAGAAGGGTGTTACTTAAATATGGTCACATTAGCCAGAGTGGATGGCTCATTCCTTTAATGCTAGCTACTAAGGAGGATAATATCTGAAGATTGAGGTTTGAATTGAGCTGGGGCAGAAAAGTTCATGAAACTCTTCAAAGCCAGCCCTGGCAACACAGTCCATGAGACTAATCTCTAATTAACCATCAGAAAACCAGAAGTGGCACTGTGGCTCAAGTGTTAGAGCAGCCATCTTGAGCTGAAGAGCTCAGGGACAGTGCCCAGTCCCAGAGCTCAAGTCCCAAAACTGACAAAAAAAAGTTCATCAAAAAAAAAGCTGGCCGGTGCCGGTGGCTCACGCCTGTAATCCTAGCTACTCAGGAGGCTGAGATCTGAGGATCGAGGTTCAAAGCCAGTCAGGGCACTGTGGTTCAAAATGGTAGAGTGCTAGCCTTGAGCAAAAGAGCTCAGAGACAGCATCCTGGCCTAATTCAAGCCTTAGGACCAACAAAAGAAAAAAGAAATAGGTTCTCCCTGCTGTTTCTTCCAGATAGGTTGTTCTAGATAGCTAAATGTATATATTAAAAAAAATTGAGAACAGGGTTATCTCCTGCCTAGTTTTTAAAGGGTATCCAGTAGATTAAAACAGCTACTACTTACATTATGTGTCCATCTGGTTCTGATAAAGGGATTCTAGTGAAGGTATCAAGTTTTTTTTTCATTTTTGTGTTGGTACTAGGGCTTGAACTTAGAGCCTGTACACTGTCTTAACTTAGCTTCTTTTTGCTCAAGCCTGGAGTTTTATCAGAGCCACAGTTCACTTATGGGGTGTATGTGTACCAGTCTTGCTGTTTCTGAGCTTTGATCCTCTGATCTCAGGTACCTGTGTTCCACTGATGCTTGGCGTGGCTTTATAGAAGATATTTTTATCCTCTATGAATTCATAGTCTAGTTGAATACAATTACGAGTAACAGATGTAAGCTGGGCGCTGGTGGCTCATGCCCTCATGCCTGTAATCCTAGCTGCTCAGGAGGCTGAGATCTGAGGATCAAGGTTCAAAGCCAGCCCAGGCAGGAAAGTCCAGGAGACTTTTTTTTTTTTGGGTCCGGTCGTGGGGCCTGAACT